TTTAAACCGACTTTGCAGTCCAGCAGTTTAACCCACAGTGTCATACCAGGACTCCGTGTGTGTATGTGGCTACCTACCTATCTACCTGGAGTCCTGGTTTTATGCTGTGGGTTAATGCATTGGACTGCAAATTTGGTTTGTATCGCAAGGTCGGTGGTTCAAGCTTAGCAGCTTTGGAAACCCTATATGGGGTCGCTATGGATTGGAACTGAATTGATGGCAGCTAACAACAAAAACAAAAATCTATCTATCGAGTCACACACACACACACACACACACACACACACACACACACACACACACACACACACACACACTGGTATGCTGTGGAACTGGTTCCAACTCGTAGCGGCCCCACATAGGATTTCTGAGGCTGTAAATCTTTACCAGAGAAGAAGTAACTGGTAGTTTGGACTAGCTGACTGTGAGATTAGCAGCCCGACTCCTAACCCACTGCGCCCCCAGAGCTCCATATGTGTATATGTTGTTGTTGTGTACTGTCGAGTCCGTTCTGACCTATAACGACCTGTGTAGGGTTTCCATGGTACAGCTGGTGAGCTTGAGTTTCAAAGAGACTTTGCAGTGCCTTAAGCCACAGCACCACACCAGGACTGTGCTCCTGGGAAATCCCATGCAGGACTGTTAGGGCTAGAACCGCCTCAATGGCACTCAACAACAACATCTGGGTATAGCTCACACCGTTGTAGAAACGGGCAAGTCCTCAGTCTGTGGGTCAGCTGTCCAGCCAGGATCAGCAGGCAACAGAACAGGCCGCTGGCTCAAGTCCAAAGAACCGCAGGGTGGGTGACAAGTCAGACTCCAGACCCAGCCAACAGGCTGTCCGAGTGTCCAGTCTAGTGGAAGCAGGCCACATGTCCAAGGAGCTTCCTTTCAGTTGCTTGCTTGTATGTAGCAGATGTCATCATGGCAGTGACGATGTCTTCAGACACATTGACACGAGACCTTTGCTATCATAGCATGTGTATCGGTGTGTGTGTCCTGGTGTGTGTGCTGGTGTCTGTGTGTCCGGTTTCAGTCTGTGCGGTTTGTTTGCCTGCAGATCATCCCGATGGTCTCGGAGTTGATTGGGAACAGCTGCCGCTATCACCGAGGAGAGGTGAGAGAATTACGGATCACCCGCCCCTCCTGTTGCTTGAGGGAGAACCTGGGGCAGGCTCCCTTGTATGGGTGGGATTGGGACTACTTGCCCGGCTCCCACAGAACCTGGAGTACTGTGTGATGGTGATCGGGGTCCCCAACGTGGGCAAGTCCTCCCTCATCAACTCCATTCGGCGGCTGCACCTCAGGAAAGGTACTGTGGGCCCCACTTCCTGGAGGAGTGAAGGCTGTCGGCTGTGTTAGGAGAAGATGGGGACAAGGGCATGTCCCAGTGTCTTGTCCCATTCACCAGTCTAACACAGGACTGTGTGGGGACATGGTTCCTTTTCTCTTTGCATGTTCATGGGAAGATGACTTTTCTAGACTTCGATGATTTCCTTTTTTCTCATTGATTTAAATCCCTTTGATTCAGGTAATTCTCCACATGATGACATAGATGGGGTTTGATTGTTAGGAGGAAGGCTGACTTTTTAAGAAGCGTGTCTGAATGTATTGAAAATGTGTCTAAAATGACATACTGTCCTATCCCAGCAGTGGTCTTGAGAGCTGTGTGTCTGTCTGTCCTGCTGCAGGATCAGGAAGGTGTGCTTGTAATCCCCACAGGGGTCTGTCCTCCGCTCTCAGTCACTGCCTGGTCCTGCTCAGAACAGAGTTACCAGGTCTCTTGCTTGCTTGAGCTGGCCCTCGGCTGGGCAGAGACAGAGTGGCCTTCTGCCCATAGAGCACATTGGGAAGTGACCACATGGAGGGGACAGCCTGCCTTGACCTTCCTTGGTCCAGGGCAGTAAGCTTTGGCTGTTGCTCCCCCGGCACCTCCTGTGTGAACTGGTTTTGGGTAACACTGAGAGAGGTCTGGATGGGAATGCCCGCTTTGATGCGTCTGTCTGTCTGTCAGATCCTCTTGTCATATGCATGTGCTTCATTGTGGATTCCATCCACACCTGATGGTCACTCTGTGTCCTGTAGGAAAAGCCACCAGGGTGGGCGGCCTGCCTGGGATCACCAGAGCCGTCATGTCCAGGATCCAGGTATAGCACTTTTGGGGACCGCAGCACATCCTCCCACGGTGGGTGTTTGCTGGGACTTGTTAGGTGATGTGGCTATGTCTTTGAGGCTCAGGGATGCTGAGTGACCAATGGCTCACATGGCCTCTGAAGCGTCAACCCCTCCTTGGTGCCCTTCTTGGGAGGGACGACACGAGAACTGTGTGGGTCCAATGCCCTTGTTTTCCTCCTTGTTGTGAAGTGCCGTCGAGTCGATTCCAACTTGTAGCGACCCTGTGTAGGGTTTCCAAGGAACAGCTGGTGAGCTTGAACCGCCAACCTTGCAGTTCAAACGGCTTTGCTGTCTGGCACATTAACCCACAGCGCCACCCCAGGATTCCTTGTTTTCCTCCTTGTTGATTGAGAATCTGGCCCTTGGTGGCATGGCCACCCAGAGACTCCGTGGAGGGGCCGGAGCACTGTCGGGGCAGAGGCTGCCCTGCCTGATGTCTCCCTCCTGCACAGGTGTCCGAGAGGCCTCTGGTGTTCCTGCTGGACACCCCTGGGGTGCTGTCGCCTCGGATCGAGAGTGTAGAGACCGGCTTGAAGCTGGCTCTATGTGGTGAGCTGTCCCAAACCCTGCCCCTTGAGGGTGTGCCTGCTGGCTTTGATGTGGGACCCCTAGACAGGGAGGAGTTAGACCTTGGCCCTGGCCACTGCCAGACTCCTCTTACTGGAATGCTGGGAATGTTCTCTCACTGTGGGTTCAGTGAGAGCGCCAGAAACCCTTTCAGATCCTGCTGGTCCTCAGCATCCTGTGAGGGATGCGCCTTCAACCTCTTCATTTGATAGATGCGGAGCAGGGTCAGGTGATGTGCCCAGGGCCATGAGGACAGTCACGGGGCTCTGCTCTGCTGGCTAGCATCAAGCCTTAGATGAGGGGTGCACTGGGGCCCGGCGGGTGTACAGGATAGGGGGTGAGAAATGAACTAGGGTCCAGTGGGTACACAGGACAGGGGGAGAGATGAACTGGGGCCCAGCGGCGGGTACACAGGATAGGGGGAGAGATGAACTGGGGCCCGGCGGGTGCACACAGCTGAGCTGCTCCATGGCTCACTCTCTGCTGTTGGGATCCAGGAACAGTGTTGGATCACTTGGTGGGTCAGGAGACCATCGCAGACTATCTCCTCTACACCCTTAACAAGCACCAGCTCTTGGGGTAAGTGATAGCGGGTGGGGGTCACGCCGGACTCTTCCTTTCTCTTTCTTCTGGGCCAAGTGTAATGAGATGCGCGTTACTGAAGTCTGAGCCACACAAGGGTTAGCACGTCCTGAGGTCTGTCTGTACGCACTCCTGACCTCATCGCCGCAGTCAGGGTGCACGTCCATCATCCGAATGGTGACGTGTTGCCCTTCCTCGCCACCCCTGGGCTCTGTCACTGATGGTGACTTTGTGTTGTCCATAGACGGACGAAAGTATTTGTTTCTCTTCTTGTCTGACTTCTCCCCCTCAGCCCACATTTTAAGTGCACCAAAGGGCCATTGCTTTCATTGCTGAGCATCGTCCACCCGGTCTCTACCCAGTCTGCTCTGGATGGGATTTGGTTTGTTTGTAGTTTTTCACTGTTTTCACTGAAGCTGTGTTGAGTGTTCATATAGCAGTCTTGTATGGACATGTACAAACACCTGAGAGTGGAGTAGCCAGTTCAGATGACAGGCCTCTGTTTAACTGTTTCTTCCAAATTTCAGACATTATTCAGTGTAAATCCCAACACTATACATCAGCCTGATCTCGTTCATTGAGGGAAGAAAGATTTCCTGGTTAAGTGGGAAACTGCAGATGGCTCTGGAAGATCTTCATTCTAAGAAGCTTTAAGGGAAAACATTTCACTTAGAAGTCAGGGCCTTCTTGCTTCAGTTTGCTGTCCTCCACATTCACTGAGCAGAACTTGTGTTGTTCATTGGGACCCAGTTTGTTCCATGGTTCTGGGTTATTCCTTCTGTCTCAATTAACATCTGGATTAAGCAATGCCAGATGCATGACACCATTGCTGCTCCGGTTCCTCAGCTTTAGTAAATGCGGAGAGACGGTCAAGCTCAGGTGTTTCTTGGCCTGCCTGAGGATCTGGTGGAGCATGTTTGAGGAGGAGGCATTGGATCTGGAAGGAGAAAACAACGTTGCCAGGCCCAGAACCTAGACCTCTCTGTGTCATTTTCCAAAATGGATGTATCATTTTCCATTCCTGCTGGTGAGAATGAGAGTTCTAGCTCCTCCTTGCCAACACTTGGTTTCATCAGTCTTTAAATTTTATCCAGACTAGTGGATGTAGGATAAACTCTGGACTGCTAACCACAAGGTTAGCAACTTTTGGCTCTCGTGGACTTGTTTTTAATTTTCTTCAGCTTTAGCCTGAACTTGCAAATGAGCAATTGATGGTCTGTTCCACAGCCAGTACCTGGCGTTGTTTTGACTGATGATACGGAGCTTTTCCACTATTTGTTTCCACAGATATAGTCAGTTTGATTTCCGTGTTTTCCAACTGGTTGAGGTCCATGTATATAGTCATCTTTTAAGTTGTTTAAAAAAAGGTATTTGCACTGAACAAGTCATTCACCTTGCAAAATTCTGTCATGTGATATTTTGTCATGTGATAATATTGTCAAGGTCATATTTTCTAACTACTGATCTTTCTACTTGGTTTCCAGACTTTGCATTCCAATCACCAGTAATTATGAGTACATCTTGATTGCATGTTTGATCAATTTCAGACTGAAGAAGTTTGTAGAATTCTTCAATCTCATCATCGCTGGCTTTGGTAGTTGGTGTGTGAAGTTGAATAATCGTGGTACTGACTAGTGTTCCTTGTAGGTGTATGGATATTATCCCATCACAGACAACATTGGACTTTTAGATCTTGAAATGTTCTTTTTGATGATGAATGTGATACCATTCCTCTTCAATTTGCCATTCCTGGTATAGTATCTCATGTGATAGATTCAGAATGGCCAACACCAGTCCATTTCAGATCATTAGTGCCTGGGATATTGATCTTTATGTGTTCCATTTAATTTTTGACAATTTCCAATTTTCCTAGATTCCTACTTCGTACATCCCATGTTCCGATTATTAATGGATGTTTACCGCTGTTTCTCCTTATTTTGAGTTGTACCCCAACAACAAATGAAGGTCCCAAGAGCTTTATTCCATTCGTATCATTACGGTCAAGTCTACTTAGTGGGTGCAGCTCTTCCCCAGTTGTATTTAAGAGCCTTCCAACCTGAGGGGTTCATCTTCCACCACTGTATCTGACCGTATTCAGGGGCTCTTTCTCATGCTTCAATATTCTGCTGCTATCTGACATAAGGTTTTCAGTGACTAAACTTTCAGAAGTAGACTGCCTTTCCTTATTAGTCTGTGAGTCCGGAAGCTTAGCTGAAACCTGTCCACCATGGGTGTACCCTGCTGATATTGAAAATACTGGTGTTATAGCTTCCCAAATCACAGCACCATGAAGTCACTACAGTATTGACAAACTGACAGACCTACACTCATGTAAGTTCTTTATGTATTCTGGTTAGAAATCCTTCATCAAAGATAGTGTGTGTGAATGGCTTTTCATTTCCTATCTTAATGTGTCTAGAGCAGCGGCTCTCCCTGTCTCCTCGCCTGTACCACAGCCTGGACGTCCATCAGTGAGCTGAGCTGTCACAATTTTCTGACCGTTCAGGACACTAGAAGTCCAAACTCAGGACACTAGCTTGAGGAGAAGGCTTTTTCTCTAAGCTCTGGGAAAGGTCATTTTCATAGAACCTGGGTCTAGGTGGTTGTCAGCACAAGAACCCAGGTCCAAAGGATGTGTTCCTCTCTTGCACAACTCTTCTTTCTGGTGGTAGCAGGTCCCGCTGATATCTGCTTGCTTGTCGAAAGAGATTGACTCAAGATACAGCCGTATCCTGTAGGGTGCATTCTGCCTCATTAACACAGAGGTTAGGGATGATGGTACAGTGTAATCACAAATCAGGGAAACTCCATCAGACCGATGATGGAGGCTCAGCCACACTGACATGTATTCTGGGGCAGAATTCACCCCTTACCTCGTTTGCATTCTGAGCCTGAGGAGCTGGCCTTCATTCATTGCCTGACGTCCCAGGTCTCAAAAACAGCCCCATTTCCCCTTTTTGGTCATTTTGCATGTGGAGGCTATCTGGTCCTGCTATTCCGTTTTTCATCACGTGGGATTTCAAATGGATTTTTTTTTTTTTTTTGCTTTATTTGTACTACAGTCACTTTGCCTGGACTTTGTTTTTCTGCAGTTAGTTTCTGGAAATCCAGCAGTCGTCTGTCTGTAGTTGGCAGGCTTTGGGGGCTTTCTCAGGGCCTGGTCCTCTTTCCCCATGAGGTCGTCTGGGGCTACTGCTGACTCAGCTTCCAGCCTTGGTGTTTCAGACGCTCCATCGAGGACTGTGCTGAGATGATGTCTGACAGTAGATGCTCTTGGTACAGACACTCAGGGGCTTGGTGCACGGGAGCTTGGTCAGCGTAGCTCCGTGTGAGCTTGGGAGTGGCAACTCGCCCTCCCAGCCTTCCCTGTGCTGGGGAGTGAGCTGGTTAGGGCTCGTGGCATCCGGGGTCAGAGGCGATGTTGCTGTTCCCATCTCTCCGGGTGAAACCGGCGCCCTGTTACTGTGCTTCAGTCTGCCTGTTGGGTCTGTCTGCCCAGAGCCCACCTTCAGCACAGGGCTGCGCCCCAGCCACACCGCAGACCCAGATCCTCACCACGAGGCCTCCACTCCCACCCTCTCCACAGGGCTGTACCCCTACCTTCACTATGGGGGCCCCACCCTCACTGGGGACCACCCCCAACTCCAGCCACACCACAGACTCAGCCAGACACACAGCCCGGGCCCATCCCCCTCCACGATGTGGAGCCTCGTCCTTGCCGCAGCTGTGTTCACGTCTGGCACGGCGGCCTGACGGTGCGTGACCCGCGGCTGTGTGCAGGTATGTGCAGCACTACAGCCTGGCCGGCGCCTGTGATGACATTGAGAGTGTGCTTAAGAAGGTGGCTGTGAAGTTGGGCAAGACCCAGAAGGTGAAGGTGCTCACGGGCAGTGGTGAGTGAGGTGTCCCCACCTTCCGGGGTCCTGGCCCAGGTGGAGCTTGGGCTACCCCCCCAATGAGGAGGAGGTATGGAGGTGGGGGTGGGCAGGAGGACACTGAGAGGGGACGGGCTGGCCCTGCTACTGCTGCGTGATCCCGTGGTTCAGATCCCCAATCCTCTCAGCAGACAGTACTTCCTTGCCCCATCCCGCCCACAGGGAACGTGAATGTCGTGCAGCCCAACTACACGGCGGCAGCTGGCCACTTCCTTCAGGCCTTCCGCAGTGGGCAGCTGGGCCCTGTGATGCTGGACCGGGATGTCCTGCCCCCCTGCTCAGACGCAGACTCTTGACCGCAGTCGTGGCCCTGCCAGCTGGGCCCATGTGTCTGCTAGGTGTGAGGCACGGGGTGGCCCCAGGCCCCCTCAGGTGCTCGGCTCAGGCTGTAACTGTCACTCCAGCCTCAGCTCAGCAAAGGGTGCTGTGCTGGCTTCTGCCCAACTTTGTCACAGCTGCACCTGTGCCTGGACCTCAGGGACCTTGTGGAAGACAGCCAGGAGCTTGGACCTTGGGCAGCGGGGACACTGGCTAAGTCAGGGGGCCTGGACCTCAGATGGGAGGCAGTAGCTCAGCTGTGGGCCTGGATCTTGGGAACCTTGCAGGCAGACAGTGGCCTTGCCCAGTGCAACTCATGCACAATGTCTCTTAACGGCTTTGTTGTCTGTATTGAATTAAAGCTGAATGAATTAGAAAGACGGTCTTTGCTGACTCCCATCTGTTGAATGAAGCCCCTCACACCACAGACTCTGGGCATGGACAGGCCAGTGACGGAGGCTCTTGTCTCAGATGCCAGTCTGGTTCCCAGAGATGAGGAGTCGTGTCACCAGCTGAGCGGTTTATTTGCACACTTGTTAAATGAGCACAAGGACACAAACAGGTGTTCAGTGACCATGGCAGAATCAAGGAGCAGCTCTCCTCCCTTTAGCCCCCTGGGGAAGACCTCTTCCTGGCTTTGTCCAGGGTCACCCACCAGTGGCTCCTGCCGGCTGACAAAAGGGCTACAGGGTCTCTGTGTTGTGCTGTGTTGGGGCCAAGAATCATCAACGCACCTCTGTCCCTGACCTGGGACAGTCCTGGGGAGGTGGACTGTGGGGAGAGACCTGGTCCAGTCGGTGATGGTCCTGTGGGCAGCAAGTGTGCTGTGGGCCTCCCACACTCGTCTCTGTCCAGGCGGTCCCAAGGTTTCCCTGTGTCTGGTACACGTCTGTGCACTGCACCGTCTGACGTGAAGCTGAGAGCACCCACACTGAATGAGCCTTCTGCTTTCTGCTGGAGCCGTACTCAGGCTGGGAAGTACTAGAACTCTGTGGTGGTGCTCCCCAATGAGCAGGCTCACCAAGTCAGGTTGGTGTGTGATGTGTGTCCTGGATTGAAGGGGAAGCCTCCCAGGATGCCTGCAGACCCCAGACGAAGAGCTCACACCCCCAGGCCTACCTCTTAGTTCTCAGAGGGAAGGATGTTAGACTTCTGGGCTGGTTAGGGTCTGAGTCATGGGGGTGTTGGCAGTGAGCAGGTGGGGGTGGCTGCTTCTTGCCCCTATCTCTGGAGAGAAACGCTGAGGTTTAGACTCTCCCCCCACCGTGAGCCCCCCTGTGAGCTGTGGAAGAGCAAAGGTCGGGGGGCCCCAGCAGCCCCTGGAGGATGCTGGTGCCACCAACTGAGCATCCAAGGCACGGGCCTTGGCCCTGGGGCGGCCAGGCTGACTGCACAGTCACCCTACCTCAGAATAAACTATATGGCAGGTTCAGAGAGATTTAGAAAACAGCCAAGACCCCGGGCAGTGATTAGTAAATGAACCAGGCTGGTGTCAGCTTTGCCAGGAGTGGGCAGTTGGAGCCGTGTGGCACGAAACAAGCAGAGTGAGGGATGAATCCTTGTAAAGATCCATCTGGTGTTTCCTCATTGCTCCTCGGGTGCCCTATCCTCCTTGTCCTTTGGTGTCCACATGAGCTGCGGTCGCCCCGGGGACACCACCTTCTGTCTCCACTGGTGTCTATAGGCTGCACTTGCCTGTTGCTGAGACCCACTGTGCTTGCAGAGGTCTGTGTGTAAAGCTCGTGGCCACCCCTGCACAGCCCTTTGCTTGGCCCAGGGAGGCAGGCTGGTCAGTGCTCCCAGACCACACCATCAGGGCGGTGCCATTCCGAATCCAGGTGGGGTCTCTGATCCCGGAATGTTAATGTCAAGTTCAAAGATGACAGTTCCAACAAGGGTGAGGCGGCTCAAAGGGAAAGGCGACCCTTAAACCAGGCCAGTCAGCACCGGCCTCACAAGAGGTCTGCCTGGGCGAGCCCCCCGTGTAAGGTTAGCCCTGGTGGAGGTCGGTGGCAAGGCTGAGGGGTACCCCCCACAGCAGGCATCTTCCTGGCTAGGGGACCCCACCGCTGGTAGGTGAGAGAGGGTAGGGCCAGGTGGGGCTTGGGCTGTGGTTCCACCACTAGGATGGTATCCTCCGGTAAGGGCCAGAAGGGCCGGCAGGTGCAGCCCAGGCTGGGGGCAGGAGGACCCTAGCCCAGCCGGGCCTAGAGACGTAGCAACTCCAGGGCTCCGAGGACACTGCCCAGTGACAGGCAGAGGTGCGGACCGGTGTGCGCGGGCCCCGAGCCCGAAGTCCACGCGCGGTAGCTGTAGACGCTTGAGCCGGTCCCGTTGCCAGGAACCCAGTCCTCACCGTCCCCGGGGCCGCGC